AGGAGCTTTAATTTTATAACGGTTATAATGTATACATAAAAGCTGTTGTCGAGTTTTTGCTGAGCCATCGTTAAGCTGTTGTTGAGTCATCGCCGAGCCGTTGCTGAGCGGTAACTAACGGTTGCAATATTTATACAAGGGGGTTTTAAGCTATAGATGATAATTAGATTTAAAACGAACCTGAGATATCCACATGTATGAAGCTAACTTGATGACTCTAGTCATTATCACCGAAACCATGCTATCGCTGTCCATGAGCAAGCCCCCCTTTTATTTCCTAAGTTTTCGCATATATCAATCCTGGATTCATCTAGTTACCAAAACGGATGTCCCAAGCTCTTAGATCATATTTAGCCTGTCTAGCTATGGCCGGTCTTTCAAGATGACTGACCTTAACTGCAGCGACCCGATGTGTACATTTGTCTGTCGGGCCAGGAGTCCGGTGCCAAGCCAAAAGTGTACTCGCGCTGCTGTACGATCTTGGTTTGATGAGAGAACTATCCATTGACAGACTCACTTATCTCATATACGAAAGGTGCGTTTTTTTGGACTTACTTGATCCATTGCCATAAAATGTATGGTAGCTTATATATGCGTAAATCAGGCGTGAACAAGGCGGCACGAATGGCATGGTGGGCAAATATCCATATGAACTCCGTAGCCCGTGAATTTTTACTGATTACAGTGAACTTAGGCATTCTTTATGCGCTAAAGCTTAGGGGTTTTAGCGCATCCACAAAGGGCATCATTAGCCCTAGAGGCTGTAAAGGTTCTCTTCAAGCGTCCATTTCAGTTAGGTATATACAGGGGCACTCGGTACTAATTGGTTCCCATAGTCCTTTCACACGGGTAACTCACTGAATCATTAAATCCCTTATTCAAAGCACATTAATTGACTTTCGCTATATTAAACGCATTGTAGGTGCTTACCTATAATTACAATCTTGGTCTTCCATATCACGACGGGTGCCATTCATTCACTGTAATGCGCTGAAATCATATGGCTTTAGCGCCTAGGAGCCATTAAACCCATTGTCCATGGATGCTTATGGGGTAGGATAGTGCTAGAACAGCCCTAGAGTAGAGGTCTCTAGGTACTTATGACTTACATCCGCTCTTGACCGACTATTTCTCAGAAGAAAAGCCAAGTTAATTTGTACTAGTGTAAAATGAAGCCTCCATAGTCTTCTTCATAGAGAAAGTCGGCGAGAAACGCACGGGGCTTTTTTTTTTTGGTGACATTCATGTCATGACTAATATATATCGACGGCGGGCGAAATGACCAAAAACCGCCAAAACGTTTTAAACCAGTGCGTAGGTGGCGTTTTTACTGTATATACACTGTATTTTCCACTAAGCCCCCCTATAATCATAGGTTCTCCAGGGCTTACTTCTTAATAACAGCTTAATAACAGATTTAAAAACGTCCTTTAGCTCCTCCAAAAAAGCAACACATACAATATAACATATATAATTTTGAAGCGCTTTGAATAAGGAATTGAATGATATAAGTTTCATTTCTAAAAAGCCAAAATCTGCGGCTTTTATTGAGCTATTATTAAGCTTTTATTAAGCTGTTGTTGGAAAAGAGTGGGTCAAAAGACTAGGTACGTGGATACCTCCCGGTCGCTCAAAAGGGCTTGATATCAACAGCTATAAATACCAGTCAAAACTACATATATAGTATCGTATGTTATATCAATCAATTGCTATTTCAAAGCGCTTCTTTTGATCTAAGCACCGATATATCAAGATGTGGTTACGAGACGTTGCTTGAAGCTTTTATTAAGCCTTTATTGAGCTGTTTCTGAGTAAAAGCGGGCCTACAAAGTAATACCACACTTTCATTGGCTGAAAGATACTCCCTGTAATTGATCGTTAAAACCACGTATAAGTGTAGGGCTACTAAGCGCTATATCCCCTATAATATATAAGGGACCTAGTGGAAAAATACAGTACATGTACAGTAAAAAACGCCACCTGCGCACTGGTTTCAAACGTTTTGGCGGTTTGGCGGTTTAAAGCATTTCGCGCACCGTAATATCTTACGACCCGCCTACGGTAGCTGGGGCATCATCCGACTGCAGGTCACGGGAAGCTGCTTAAGAGTACCGGAGGACCGGCTCAGATCGCCGGGACGGTGCAGAAAGATGTCGTGATCTATCAAAGACATTCCCGGTGCCAAGCGTTCTCTCTGCGTTCCCTACGATTCGGACTCGATGCAAGATGAGAATCCCAAATGTCACGATCAGTCCCCCCGTACGGACCAGATACACCAATCAGCGATTTCGTGAGTGCCTTCGGATGATGCGCCTGTTACGTGTCGCCATAGGATGCCAAAATGTTCAGCCCGTCCTGCGGCTACGTGCAGCTGATCGGCCAAAACTGGGAAGAGGAACAATTCGTACCTCCACCAAAGAAGATAGGACATTGCGTGGTCGGCCAAATCTTGATTCAACTCCCCCCTAAAGTTACTGCAGACGAAAAGCTCCCGAGCTGAACAGATTCGGAACGCTGGGTCAGCACCACTAACAAGCGTTACCAACCCTTATCAATATGCGACAGTGGCTGTGGGGGATCGCGATACACAATATGCAGTCTTGATGAAAAGATGAGTTTCTTGGGTCCAAGGGACATGCCTGATTCGTCATGACAGGCTGATTATAGCTCAAGAACGTGATATGAAGCGCAGTAGCGACATGACATTACACCAAGTGATACAACGTTGAGCATTCTTAAAATATATTGAACCACCTGGGCAACAATCCTCACACATATTAATGAAATCCTGAGTTCCAGGAGTCGCAGGTAGCTCGGTCATGTCGAATCTGCACCTAACTCAGGGGCACAGAGCCTTCTTGGCCTCGCTTGTTCCAACTGACGCCAACGATATCTACTGCATGATGAGAGATCGCCTGCGAAGAGTCGGTGAGCCCATGGTATATAGGAACAGCCCCTCGGGTAAAGCACCGTGCATACATCAAAGCACATGCGTAAGCTGGAGCCTTACTATCTATGCCTACCTACCAAGGTCCCGTACACTAAGAGTTAAGATATAAAGAACAGGGACTACAAACCATCAACCAACGTTTTGGGACCTCAAACTAAAGGTTTCGGCCAAATATATAACGCCTTACATAATCTCGTCAACCGAAAGAACCTTCTACCATGTCTTCCCAATCAGCAAGCACCACAGCAAGTGCCACACTAGAAGACCGTAGGATATATGGCTTTGGTCCTGACCACCGCATGCCTTACTCATGTTCATATTGTCTTGGCACCCCAAGATTGTAGGTTGATACGACCCGAGATATGTGTTGACAAGATACTGATCAACATATATAGAGTTAAAGAATGTCGGCCATGTAACGGCACGGGTTTGATGTGGGACTCCAGCTCTAGCAGCAGCATATATGCGGGGAAGGACAAAAGACAGATAGCCTCTGGCGGTTCTTCTCCTGGTAGTTCTTCGTTATCGACTTATGGCCAAAGACGTTAAAGGGGTAGAGGTTCTCTCACACACCTACTGACTTATATCTACCGCGTCATATTCATCATCTCAGCATATTAGAGTACACAATAGCGGCGGGACCTGTTCGGCATTCTCCTTTTCCCTTAGCACACAAGGCCAATCGGGTGGATGGGCGGCATGCTGCTATATATGTGTGTACTATCAAATGATACACTGTATCTCAAAGCATTGATTGCTCTACTACCTTCGATAGCTGGTATACTCTGTTTAGTGTACTTCAACCAGATATTTTATCGCCTTGAAAGCAGCTATTAGACCCCAAAAATGAACTGTGTCAAGTTCATAATTGTTCTAGGTACACCAATTTATTTAGGTATAGCAAAGATGTGATCACTTCCAGAATAGCGCATCAAATCATAACAACTTTACCTCAATGCCAGGATCCGGTCAGATATTAGTCATCTATCTGTAGGTATCGTATACGAAATAGCCGAGGAAGCCGGGGAAACAAACATCTTCGGTTTTGGATATCCCTTACTGTAACCTAATCTTGGATCCTGATCTTTGGACCAATCTGGCGGGTCACTCTTCCCCTTAATACGTAGTACGCCATGTTATCAAGGGTCACATGAACTGGGGAATGAAGACTCATGCGACTCGTTCGCAGCCTCCATCTCTATTCCAAATGTCAGTCATTGCTCGCAATTATATTCTTCATGGAACAATCATTCCTCTACCGATACTCGTAGAGTTTTGTAGTGATGGGCCAGATCCTGCGGTCAGCGTTACTACCGACATATGGCGGCTGGACGCCCAACAATAATCAGACATGGGCTTTGCCTTGATAATCAATCCAGGGCGAGTCAACGCAGATGATGCAGATCCATCGGGCTTGCATCGTAGACGAGGCAAAATTATTTCGTACCATGGAACTAACGAACGACGAGGTACCTAGGCAACCTAGTTATGGAGGATGGATGTCTGCCCAAAAGTCGACCTAGACTCTCCGAGCAATTTTTCGTCAGAGTCCAGAATTCGCTAAATCTCACATTGGGAGGGATTTGTGATTTTCACCGACTCTGCTTCATTCCGGGCCTGCATCATTGCTTAGGGGGTATTATCATCGCTTAGAGGAGTGAGTAGTATTCATTTCCCTTTTATTGTTGATGCTGTATCGATTGGCTGCTTGCTTATCATGGCGAGAGTAGATTACTGTCCGTATCTGATGGTTAGCAAATGGAACAAAGCCAGTGTCACAAGGCTTGTGACAAGTTGGAAAGATGGAAATAAAATGAGCAAAAGCTGTGGACTATGGTGAAAATTTATTAGTGAGAAATACCCCTGGATAAAACAACTGAACCTTAGCCCCTCCCCCTCTTCCCCCCTCTTTCCATCCCGTATTCCCATATTGACGACTGTCAGGTACCCAGTACCAGTGAATTGATCATTAAAGGGTCCGCGAAAATAAAACAGACGAACATCATTAGATACGGGGAAAAAAATAAAGTCGCGATAAAATAATCACAAATGCCCCCACACCGGATTGAACGATGGACCTCAGCATAAACTCATATGCAGTTAATATATAGTATGACTTCTATATATAGTAATACGAGTGCTGCGCTCTACCACTGAGCTATAAGGGCTTCGTGATGTGCATTGCATGAGGGTGAGGCTGTCACTCAGCAGACCCACCTTGACAAAGAGTGGCTCCAGTAAAATTAATCCATAGGTGCTTCGTAACGGTTTTTCAAATAGCATGACCAAGGTAATACTGCCTAGAGTGAAGGAGGTGGTCAGAGGGCGGGGAAGAGGGCGGGGAAAAGGGGGGGGATGGAGGACAAAAATGATCATATAAATTCAGACAAGCTCTTTAATAGGTACCTAGAATGTTTACATATAAATATCAACGTCTATTTTATATCGACTCTTCGGCTTCCTTCTCCAACATATCGCGTATTCGAGGTACAGGAGGCGACTTAGGTCCGATCATGTCTCCCGGAACAACGGTCCTCGGGTCTGCATCTGGAGGGTCGTATACCACAGTCAATTTGATGTCCGATGACTGAAAGTCTCTAAACAACCCCAACACTTCGAAGTCCAAATTGGTTGAGGGGTCATCCAAAACGCCAAGGACCACTTCCTTTAGAAATGGAAATTTCTCTGGGGCATCTTTAACAAGCTGGCCAAGGCATTTTGCGATATCCACACACACCCAGGGTGAGTACGCGTAGGAGATCCGGAGAAATCGGATGGGTCGCGGGAGTAAATCCACCAAAAGTTTGTCTGACTCCGGCCATATTCTATATAATGAATAGCAGTCGATCGACATGTACTCTAACTTAGGATACTCGCAGAAACTTCCAGTAATTTTGTAATAATATGTTCTCTCCTGGTGGCGATATTCGGCAATTTCATCGTGGCATGGTATACACCCTATGCAAAGCCTAGTGATCGTTGCCTTCACGGGCTCTAGCAAATCCACCACGTTTCCCAAAAGAAGACAATGAGATTCCCCGTTCCCATGCTCCTCCCAATACAGTTCAAGTTCTTCCAGTTTCGACGTGGAGCGCAGCATGGACGTTATGTCACCCCACCACAAGTTCGAGGCCGCTAGCTTCGTCACCTTGGAAAGAAATGTCTTATAGTCGTAATATCCGCTACAGGGCGCGAACCACCAGGGCGCATGGCTCGGTAACGCACCTCTCGGTGACGCACTGTGAACGTAGATAGTTTCAAGGTTCGGTGCTGCTAAAAATAGTCCTCCTCCATCATGTATGACATTCTCATAGGCGAACCTACGTGACACCAATCCCAGCGTCTGTAGAGACAACAGCTTGATGCGGGGAGAATGCCGTAGGTCATGAAGGCAAAAGCCGCCGATGGCATCGAGGTACAGACTCTTCAGGCGTGGAGAGAGCACTACGGCAAGTATGGCGAGCCATCTATGTGGAAAATCCGTATATCGCCTCCCCGCTTGCTCGGAATCGCCAAGCAAATCATAAGGTACACGCCAGGAATCAGGTGGACTAGGTTTTTTGAGAAGCCCGTCTTTCACGATGCCTACTTCTAAGAGCGGCTCGATAGTCTGCACATGTGACTCGTGCCATCTGTAATCGACATCGGAAGTGTCTACAAGATGCATCGTGGTGATTTGTGACGCTAGATCGGGACGCTGAGCGATGGTGCGGACAAATTGTGGAAGAAAGTAGTCATATTCGTAAACGGTTTGCGGCGGTTCTTCTTCATCCCGTCCCCTTGAATTACCAGTAGCGTAATAGTGGTAAAGTATGGGTTGCGCGATGGAACAGAGGTACTTCGACGTGCGGCATAGGTGAGCCAACGCCCTCTTGTCGTTGCGGATATGGTCGTGGTCGGCGTTAGGAAATAAGCCAGGATGTTGACAATGAAAGCACAAGTAACCACATATCTGATTAAGAAGCTCGACGGGGAGTGACTCCATCGTGGCGTCGATTTTGGGCGACCATAGGAAATGGAAATCATTATATGTTGAGGTTGGGAAGCTGTCAAACGGGGACGACCCGTCACGCCCGCAACACCTACCCAGTGATCTCACGTGACGGTATAGGCAGATAGGTAAGATAGGGGCTGGACTTATCGCCAAAGAGAGCACCACCCTGTGTAACCGTACTAGTGGAAATCGTGGCAAACATTGCAGGGTACTATTACTAGGTAGGTATCTAGGTCCTACATGTAGACAGTCTCTTAGGACGGTTACATACCTACCTAGGTACACTGTAGGTATCCGGGGTTACACGACCAACACATCTTCATGTTTTTTATGGAGCTCTTTGAAAGGAACTCCGACAGACAGGCCGGCTGTACCTTTAGGGGGGTAGTAGGGCTACTGCCCCGTAAAAGCCATCCATGGCATGGATACATGGATCCCTATAACCTACCGCGCAGCCGCGGTGCACTAGAGAAACAAACCCTACCCCTACAGTGCTCCAGCTCGATGAAATTATCCGTCTTCGGCGCTATAGCAACCCGCATGTTAGAATACCGACGTCGACTACTGGAAAGGTAAGCATGTGTTGCTCATAGATAGTTTCTAGAAGGAAAATGTAGGAGACGGCTATGCATGTGGAAGTCCCTAATTATACCTACCAATATAAATATGAGTATGACGACTTGCTGATCCAACCCTTCAAACTCTTCCCAACCCGCATTTATAGGTACCCGTTCCCACCTAAGTGTAGTCGATATAGGTGAGCTTCCCCTTCGATGTCATGTTCTAGCTCACGCCATGCCCGAAGACCTGAAAATAAACAGGACAAGATATTATATATATACTTATTCAAAGCTTGGAAAACAGGTATATACATTATAGCCACCTAAGCAGCTCCATCCCCAATCCTACCTAGAGGTAGTACCTATATAACTCTTTTATTTTTCTTTGTCTACTATCCGTCGTCTAACTTTCACCAACATCTAACCCTCTTTTTTTACCACTTCTTGATCTTCCTCATGCTGCCCTCCTCCAGCAGCGCCTTGTGCATGTCGAAGGTGTTGAAGAGGAGGTGGGGTTCGTGGCCCCAGCCCTTCTTCAGGCACTCGAACTCGGCCTTCTCGAAGTAGTCCTTGAGGATGGGCCGGTAGTCGTCGTGCGCGCACTTATCGATGATGACGCGCGCGCGCTCGCGCGGGCTCAGGCCTCGGACGTCTGCTAGACCGGTCTCGGTGACCACGACGTCGAGGTCGTGCTCCGTCTGGTCCACGTGCGTGCACATCGGCACGATGCAGCTCACGCCGATCGGGTCTGTCTTGGAGGGGCGCGTGGAGGGGGTGTGCATGATGCTGTACTTGCTGGAGCGGAGGAAGTCGGCGGATCCGCCGAGTCCGTTCAACATGCGGCTGCCCATCACGTTGGTGCTGTTCGCGTGCGCGTAGATGTCCACTTCGACGGGCGTGTTCATGCCGATAACGCCGAGTCGTCGGATGATCTCGGGAGAGTTGGAAACTTGTTGGGACCGGAGTAGGAGCTTGTTGTGGTACGATTCCCAGTTGTCGTAGAAGCGCTTGAAACCGTCAGGCGAGAAACGGACCGAGGTCGCTGTCGCGAAGTCTAGACGTCCCGAGTCGAACAGATCAAGGAAGGTGTCCTGAATGACTTCGGTCCACACCTTTAGGTTCCAGAAGTTTGACTCGCTGAGCCCACCGATGACCGCGTTGGCAATGTTGCCGATACCGGATTGGAGGGGCAGGAGGGACTTGGGCATGCGGCCTTGTGAGACCTCGTGCTCGAAGAACTCGATTAAGTGGTTCGCGATCGAGCGAGAGGTCTCGTCCGCGGGTGTGTTGTCGGTCGTCTGGTCAGGGTAGTCGGACTCGATCACACCAACGACCTTCTCAGGATCTATGGGGATAGAGGTGGTTCCGATGCGGTCTTCGACGTTCATAATCAGATAAGGTTTTCGTTTAGGGGGTAGGTCAGTCATTGTGATATCGTGAAGCCCGTCGAAACTCGGGATAGCTGTGTTAACTTCGATAATGATCTAATATTTGGCCTTGATTAGCTTTTATCTTTCCGCGAATGTCTACCTGTGATTCTGCTTACCTTGTCGGCGAGTTGGATGAGTTCTGGTGTCGCACCAACCGAAGCACCGGGAACTATACTTCCATCTTCTTTTATTTCTGATGCCTCGACCACTACTACGTCTAGTTTATTGCTCGGTCGATCCTTGGTGTAAAATCCCTTGAGAGATATCAGAATTTGGCAGATACATAAATGTCTTGAGCTGGATTCTGATTACTTACGTATACTAAATCGACAGGAAACATGGACAAGTGCTTATCGAAGAATTTTATTCTTCCCTCGTTGATGCCTTTCGCAATTGCTTTTCCGACCTGATGGGGGCTTCGCCTCTCAATCATGTCCAGCCCCGCCCACCGGTTTTCTGTCTCAGCCCCTGAGGAGGCGCCGACAAAGAGTGTATAGCGCAATTGACCTTGTAGGTTATTCTTTTCTACATGGTCGGCTAAGAAAGTAGGCATTTTCCTAATCAAAAAGTTAGAAAATGGCCATGATGGCACAATGACGAGGGTAGGAAACAAGTGACGTACTTGGGATAGCCCACACCCGTGAACCCTGACCAGCCAATGTAGGCGCCATTGGGGAAATGATGCAGCAAATCTTCAGGTCGGCAAAGCTTCTTCAGCATAGACGGCCTGCCAACACGAGCCTTCAGAGCTGCGGAAGCAATGGGCGACGCCATTTTGTCACGATCCGAGCTCAGAGGCTCTCGTTAATAGCTAGGTATGGTATAAGTATAGGATGGAGGGGTAGATGACGGAATGGACGAGGGGCACGGCGGCGATTCTACTGATACAAGCGCACGAGCACAAAACACCACTGACTCAAGGACAATTGAGAGGCAGCAATAACATGAATGAAAAAAAAAAAGAGGGTTAGGAGTTAAAAGAAGAAAAAAAAGGAAATTATATTGAAGAAAAACTTGGAAGAGTCTGGGGAGTGGAGAGTCTGGAGAACCCTTGGAAATGCACGGCTCTAAGCTAAAGTCGCGAGTCGCATGTATTTGAAGCTTCTGGGGAAATGGAGGACGCCGAGTGCCCCCCGTGCTCCGAAAAAAAAGAGTCCCCATTAAGCCCATTAAGCCCATTAAGC